AGTTTGAAGCAAAAATAAAAAAAATCTGAAATTTTGATGAATGTTGGACCTAGGACCCAGACTACAACAAAATTTCAAATTTATTTTTTTGTTTGTTTTAATCTCGAAAAGTACTGGCCGAATCTGGCTGGAAACTCACCTTTCTGGTAAATTCGCATGCTGAATCCGAAAATGGACTCAGAATGGACCTAGGTCCATTGTTTCATCAAAATTCCCGAAATTTTTCTACTTTGAACAATTTGTGCTGTTATTTCGGGATCTTGTGGCCGAGGGCATCGGAAATTTGTCATTTAAGACTAAAATCTATGCTGAATCCGAAAATGGTTTCAGAATTGAGCTAGGTCCAATATTTCATAAAAATTTCAGCTCAAAAATTTTGAACCAAATATCCCTCGAAATTTTATTTCATATCAATATTTTTCTAATTTGTGAGGTTCTTGTCTTTGCTTTTATTTCATATCAATATTATTCTAATTTGTGAGGTTCTTGTCTTTGCTAGCAAATTTCTCAATAGTCGAGACAAAAACCCACAAATGTACAGTAAATTTTGGAAAATTTTGGGATGACATAAATTTTTGTAGTAGAATCGGTCTGAAATTTTGTTCGAAAATTTTTTGTGAAATATTGGTCTCAGGTCCAATATGAGTTCATTTTCGGATTCAGCTTAAGTTCTAATCTTGAATGTTAAATTTTTACAGCTCTGGGCCTCAAGACCCCGATAAAATACCAGAAATTGCTTCAAATAAAAAATTTTCGGGAATTTTGATGAAATATTGCTCCCAGGTCCATTCTGAGTCGATTTTTGGATTCAGCATGGGATATTAACAGAAAGGTGAGTTTGCAGCCAGATTCGGCCAGTATTTCCCGAGTTTGAAGCAAAAATAAAAAAAAATCTGAAATTTTGATGAATGTTGGACCTAGGACCCATACTACAACAAAATTTCAAATTTATTTTTTTGTTTGCTTTAATCTCGAAAAGTACTGGCCGAATCTGGCTGGAAACTCACCTTTCTGGTAAATTCGCATGCTGAATCCGAAAATGGACTCAGAATGGACCTAGGTCCATTGTTTCATCAAAATTCCCGAAATTTTTCTACTTTGAACAATTTGTGCTGTTATTTCGGGATCTTGTGGCCGAGGGCATCGGAAATTTGTCATTTAAGACTAAAATCTATGCTGAATCCGAAAATGGTTTCAGAATTGAGCTAGGTCCAATATTTGATACAAATTTCAGCTCAAAAATTTTGAACCAAATATCCCTCGAAATTTTATTTCATATCAATATTTTTCCAATTTGTGAGGTTCTTGGAAAATTTTGGAAAATTTTGGGATGACATAAATTTTTGTAGTAGAATCGGTCTGAAATTTTGTTCGAAAATTTTTTGTGAAATATTGGCCTCAGGTCCAATATGAGTTCATTTTCAGATTCAGCTTAAGTTCTAATCTTGAATGTTAAATTTTTACAGCTCTAGGCCTCAAGACCCCGATAAAATACCACAAATTGCTTAAAATAAAAAATTTTCGGGAATTTTGATGAAATATTGCTCCCAGGTCCATTCTGAGTCCATTTTTGGATTCAGCATGGGATATTACCAGAAAGGTGAGTTTGCAGCCAGATTCGGCCAGTATTTCCCGAGTTTGAAGCAAAAATAAAAAAAAATCTGAAATTTTGATGAATGTTGGACCTAGGACCCATACTACAACAAAATTTCAAATTTATTTTTTTGTTTGCTTTAATCTCGAAAAGTACTGGCCGAATCTGGCTGGAAACTCACCTTTCTGGTAAATTCGCATGCTGAATCCGAAAATGGACTCAGAATGGACCTAGGTCCATTGTTTCATCAAAATTCCCGAAATTTTTCTACTTTGAACAATTTGTGCTGTTATTTCGGGATCTTGTGGCCGAGGGCATCGGAAATTTGTCATTTAAGACTAAAATCTATGCTGAATCCGAAAATGGTTTCAGAATTGAGCTAGGTCCAATATTTGATACAAATTTCAGCTCAAAAATTTTGAACCAAATATCCCTCGAAATTTTATTTCATATCAATATTTTTCCAATTTGTGAGGTTCTTGGAAAATTTTGGAAAATTTTGGGATGACATAAATTTTTGTAGTAGAATCGGTCTGAAATTTTGTTCGAAAATTTTTTGTGAAATATTGGCCTCAGGTCCAATATGAGTTCATTTTCAGATTCAGCTTAAGTTCTAATCTTGAATGTTAAATTTTTACAGCTCTAGGCCTCAAGACCCCGATAAAATACCACAAATTGCTTAAAATAAAAAATTTTCGGGAATTTTGATGAAATATTGCTCCCAGGTCCATTCTGAGTCCATTTTTGGATTCAGCATGGGATATTACCAGAAAGGTGAGTTTGCAGCCAGATTCGGCCAGTATTTCCCGAGTTTGAAGCAAAAATAAAAAAAAATCTGAAATTTTGATGAATGTTGGACCTAGGACCCATACTACAACAAAATTTCAAATTTATTTTTTTGTTTGCTTTAATCTCGAAAAGTACTGGCCGAATCTGGCTGGAAACTCACCTTTCTGGTAAATTCGCATGCTGAATCCGAAAATGGACTCAGAATGGACCTAGGTCCATTGTTTCATCAAAATTCCCGAAATTTTTCTACTTTGAACAATTTGTGCTGTTATTTCGGGATCTTGTGGCCGAGGGCATCGGAAATTTGTCATTTAAGACTAAAATCTATGCTGAATCCGAAAATGGTTTCAGAATTGAGCTAGGTCCAATATTTCATAAAAATTTCAGCTCAAAAATTTTGAACCAAATATCCCTCGAAATTTAATTTCATATCAATATTTTTTTAATTTGTGAGGTTCTTGTCTTTGCTAGCAAATTTTTCAATAGTCGAGACATAAACCCGCAAATGTACAGGAAATTTTGGAAAATTTTGGGATGACATAAATTTTTGTGTAGAATTGGTCTGAAATTTAGTTCGAAAAGATTTTGTGAAATATTGGTCTCAGGTCCAATATGAGTTCATTTTCGGGTTCAGCTTCAGTTCTAATCTTGAATGTTAAATTTTTACAGCTCTAGGCCTCAAGACCCCGATAAAATACCACAAATTGCTTAAAATAAAAAATTTTCGGGAATTTTGATGAAATATTGCTCCCAGGTCCATTCTGAGTCCATTTTTGGATTCAGCATGGGATATTACTAGAAAGGTGAGTTTGCAGCCAGATTCGGCCAGTATTTCCCGAGTTTGAAGCAAAAATAAAAAATAAATCTGAAATTTTGATGAATGTTGGACCTAGGACCCAGACTACAACAAAATTTCAAATTTATTTTTTTGTTTGCTTTAATCTCGAAAAGTACTGGCCGAATCTGGCTGGAAACTTACCTTTCTGGTAAATTCGCATGCTGAATCCGAAAATGGACTCAGAATGGACCTAGATCCATTGTTTCATCAAAATTCCCGAAAATTTTCTACTTTGAACAATTTGTGCTGTTATTTCGGTATCTTGTGGCCGTGGTCATCGGAAATTTGTCATTTAAGACTAAAATCTATGCTGAATCCGAAAATGGTTTCAGAATTGAGCTAGGTCCAATATTTGATACAAATTTCAGCTCAAAAATTTTGAACCAAATATCCCTCGAAATTTAATTTCATATCAATATTTTTTAATTTGTGAGGTTCTTGTCTTTGCTAGCAAATTTTTCAATAGTCGAGACAAAAATTACCTCAGAATGGACCTGGAACCAATATTTCATAAAATTTCCCGAAAAATTTTTTATTTTTAGCAATTCGTGGTATTATATCGGGGTCCTGAGTCCTAGAGCTGCAAAAATTTAACATTTAAGATTAGTACTTAAGTTAATTCGAAAATGAACTCATATTGGACCTGAGACCAATATTTCATCAAAATTTCCGAACGAAATTTCAGACCGATTTTACCTTTCAACTTACCTCTGAATTTTTGGATTTTCCAAGAATAAAACTCTTTTCATTCTGATATTTAATAAAATTGTTCAATAATTTTTCTTTATTTATTATTTAAACTTAATGCTAATACAATTGTAATTAATATTAACAGTAATATTTAGTTATTGTTATTTAAATATTATAATTAATAAAATGATTTTGTAGATTTAATGAAATAAATAAATAGATAAATAAATAAATAAATAAATAAATAAATAAATAAATAAATAAATAAATAACATTATATTTAATTAATTTAAATAAAATCCTAGTAAATAACAAAAAATTACATAAAAATTCTTATCTTATATATAAATTCCTTACTGGATCCAGTTGAAAATGGTTGAAATAGGTCCATTATTTCACCTAGCCCCCACCCTATATGGCTTTTTAGCTCATAATTATTTTAAATATACTTGTATCTAGCCAAAAAGTGCCTCAACTTTGTTCTATACAAGCCTTGATGACCTTACTGAAAAATATTTCACGTGAAATTTTGAACAGAGTACCTACCTAGCTTTAGCTCTCATACAAATCCATCTATCAAGTTTTAAGGCTTCTTTCAGTAAATTTGTTTTTCGTCAATAAATTTATTAAATATGTTGGAACCAAGATAAAATTCAACATAAATACTATTGAAAATAAACAACATTTAATATTTTTATTTGGTGTAGGGTATCATTTGGTCGGCCACGCCCGACTGCAGTTTCTTACTTATTTATTTATTATTTTATTTTGATTTTGTTTATGTTTTCACAACAAACTAATCCCAGTATTTTCTCTCTGGCATCCTTTTAGTGGTCTTATTAAAAGCTAATGAATAACAACAAAATACTGCGTAAGAGCACAAAAAAGAGAGAATAGGAGCAAAAGCTTTCGAAACTAACTGTAGTAAAAATCTCCTGTTAACGTCAGCATCACCATCATTATTACGAACAAAGGTACGCAGAGTATGTGCTTTTATATTTAATATGTGTTTGTGTGTATTTGTGTGTATGAAAGTATGTACGTGTAAACAAATACTTGTTTTACTTCCCAAAATACTTCAGTTGCTCTCAAATATTAAAAGTGCAAAGATGTAGCTGTTGGAACAGGACGTGTCTAAATAATTTCTAATCATATTTAAGTTTTCCATTGCACCAAGAATACCTGCTCGAAAACAATAAAAATGAAACAAATTATTGAAAATATAAAAAACGAAAGGCTAAATTAATTAACAACAAAAAAATGTATTGAAAATTATTTATATTTAATAAGAGGAAGATTTCACATTCATAAGTGAAATAAGTAAATAATTAATATACACACATACAGACACATTATGGTATGTACGTAATTGGTGTTAGAACAACATAGAGATATTTTAAGTGGAATGAAGTGATTTTAATAATGAAAAATGTAGTGAAATGCTATCTATTTGCGTATACACTACAAAATGAACTATGAGAAAAGGGAAAAGCGTAAAAAGTGAAAATGTATACAAGTACCTATACATGTACATATGTATATTTCGGAGAATGTATGTGTGTATGTACAAATAAATATGTCGAAAATGAATAAAAATTGTGCTTATAAATTTGACAACAATTCATAGATAAAAGCAAAACAAGTAAAAATATTAATGAAACGACAACAACAACCTCAAGTTCCTTGAATTTGAAAAGTGAGAAAAATAATAAAAACAACTAGAACAATAGTCTACATAAAATAACCAACCAAAAACATTTCTTCTAAATTTTAAATTACATTTACCCAACAACGTAATGAGACAACGTATTTTTCATTATTTTTTTTTCCATACAATTCAGAGTTTTTATCCATACTTATACTATTGATATTTACGTGTAAAAACGATCAAAGTTTTATTTTATTTAGGTCACTATTTGCAATTTATTGTTTATATATTAAACTCTGAATTTTAGGTAATGCATAGAGTTCTATGTCTTTCGTATCGAAGTTATTGAAAGCATTTCAACATTAATAAGCTATATATTGACAAATATAAGTACTAGTTCTAAACTTATCGGATCTACGTCTTTCACATGAAACATAAACTATATTTTCATACTCTTTAGCAGAGTTATTTAATTTTAGTTCCATTCTTTAAATGGCAAATATGTAAAACATTATAATTACTGTAAATCTTTTAGAGATTCAAATTTATAAAATCTTAAAATTTAGCACAGGTTTGATAGCATAGGTTTACTTCTTTCAATAACTAAATTGAGAAATGTAAAATATACATAAATTTTAATTGTTAACGAATTTTGAGGAAGACATGACGTGTATTAATAAAAACCAAGATACCAGTTCAAAAAATAAGGTGCAAAATAAAAAACTTAAAATATGTATGTACATATGTATATATAAAGGATTGTCTGTCGCCTCCAATATATTTATAAACTAATAACATATTTTTATTTACGTTTGTATATACATACATATGTACAAATAAAGATATTTACATACACATATGCACATCTATGTATGTATATACGTGCCTGCACATGTATGTATCTGCACACATACATTCATAAATATGTACATACATAAATACATATACATACATATGTTCATATAACGTACTTATACTTCTACGTTGCACATAATAAAAAGGTGAATGATATTTAAACAACTTATTAAATGAAACATGTACATGCTGGGTATCTCTCGAACCAAGAACTTTATGAAACTATGCTAAACCACAGAATAATAAGACTATAAACGTACATAAGGCAAAATTTATTCGAATAATCGTCTAAATAAAACACTATGGATGTCATTTTGAAAGCAAATCAAATGGATACACCTGAAGAACAACGTTCTCCCAAAGGTTTAGGTAAGTTATATAGTTTACGAATAGTTTTAGTTTTATTTATTATTAATTTTTTCCTTTACTTTTATCTTCATCCTTAAAGTTTATTAGTTTAGAAAAGTTTTGCACTTGTTTTTTTTTGTTCAACCTTCTGCTTTCTGTCTTGGTTTCTTTTCGATGGATGGAGTTTAAACAGATTTGTTAGTTTGTTTATTACCTTAAGGCTTTAGGCCAGGGCTGATGTCTTTAGATTTTATCTAAAACTATTCAAAAAAACACATACATATGTACATATTTTATATTTTAATCTGTATTACGGTTTCACAATGTAAAGATATATTTACATATTTATATACATAAGTACGTACATATGTTTGTGTGTGTCCTTATACAAACATACATACATATGTATGTACTTGAGAGGCATTTTGTCATTTGGCATTTTGTAACTAATACAACTTAACGAGTTTAAACAAACACTAAAATGCAGTTAAGTTAATACCTAATAATCTTCCTTCATTTTCTTCGCTTTTGTTTTGATGTGATGTTATGCTCCTTTTATATTCGTTATGCTTTGAGCTTTAAACATCAACATTCATTTACTTGTAAATAATAAAGTGGATAAAAAATCCAGAATCAGCAAGCAACTAATTCTTTGATTTTCTTATGAACTTAAGCGAATCTATACAGAGGGCTGAATTCAGCAAAAAATTAGCAATTTTTCTATTGTTGTATATACATATGTATGTACATTAGGGTGATAACTTTTATACAATTTTTGAATAGTATACTATTTTCGAGTTACTGCCACATTTGACAGTTTTCATAAAAAATAATTTTAAACGGCAGATTAACTACTAGATAAACGATATTTTATTTTTACTAAACTGTACTAGTATGTACTATACATTAGAAGTAGTTACAAAATTTAATATCGGAACGAAATCTTAATAGAATTTAAATTTGCTACCGGGATTCCACTAAAATAGTATAATTTGTACAGTTTTGTATGCATTTCATTAATAAAAATACATATGTACGCAAAAATTTTATGTTATGGGTAGAAGAAACAAAATTTCACTACATAATTACATAAGTATGTATATGAAACATATACTTTAGATTTTATCAGATATTTTAGGCTTGAAAAAATAAAAAAAGTTATTTCCCTAATTCACAGTATAATATTCTTCAATCACTTACTCATTCAGTCAGTCTGTCAGTAACAGTAACATGTTTTTTTGTCTATTTTTCTTTATATTTCAACAGGATGGTTCTTTTGTTATCAAAGAATGTTAAACTTATCTTTAAGAATTATACGTTTGAATGTACGAGTACTTACTATGTATTTTATGTGAACGCAACACATTTTTATAACTCAAAAAGATCAGCCATCTATTATGCAAAAAACTTTATGAACTCGTACCTACATACATACATACACACATACATACATATGTATATGAAAAACTACATACAGTCAGTACGTACTTGTATGTACATTAGTCCGACTCACAGAAAATATTACTTTGTTGTTCTCATGATGTTAGCCAAAATATTTTAGGATTAGCATTGTTCGTTGTTGTTAATTATAATTTGTTTTCTTTTATGAAAATTCACAAAAGATTTCGAGTTTACGTTTTCCGTTTCAAAAAATATCTCCTTAATATCGAGGGGTAAAACTCACTACTCCAATTTGGGAATAATTACAAAACAATCAATATAAGATTTGAGAGGAGTAATAAAATCGCAATTTTGCATTCCATTAATAGTGAGTAAACTTAGTCTACTTGTGTTTTTCACCGTGTGGATTATCGAAAAGTTTTCTTATTATGCATAGTTAAATATAAATTATGCTTTACAACTTCTGAATGGTATGGATATTCATATATTTACTGTTATATTTACAAAAGCAACTATTTTTTAATCTGATTCCTAATAAGGCTGACGACACTAATCATCATATTAAAACGTCGATATTATTCATTAGGGGGTAAAAAATTCCACACAACCAAATAAAATGTCTTAACATTTTATGCATTTTTATCGTTCTTATATACACATTTAAAGCTTTTATCAACATACATTTAAAATGCTTATAAAAATATGTATGTATGTAAGTCTAAAAAACAAAAAAGTAGTGCGTACCTATGTGTAAAGATGTTTGAAACTAGTAATAATAAAATGTGTGACATTACAATTTACATCTTAAAATTTTACATATACATATTTTTGTGATTTGTTACATATGGACTTTTAGACTCAGTTATAATTTCAAAAAAATAAATAAATATTTTTAAGAACAGGTGTAATGTATATACATATGTATGTATGTATGTATGTATGTATGTATGTATGTATGTATGTATGTATGTATGTATGTATGTATGTATGTATGTATGTATGTATGTATGTATGTATGTATGTATGTATGTATGTATGTATGTATGTATGTATGTATGTATGTATGTATGTATGTATGTATGTATGTATGTATGTATGTATGTATGTATGTATGTATGTATGTATTTATGGTATGTATGTATGTATGTATGTATGTATGATATTGTATGTATGTATGTATGTATGTATGTATGTAGATATGTGTTACAAAAGAATTTCCTAAATCTCTTCAAGCTTTACAATGGTTAATGGTTAAATTTTGGATATTGGCAAAAAAGTTATACCCTATAAAACATTACTTAAAGGAAATCTAATATGTATGTGTTATACAAATATACACACAGACATATATGGCCTAAAGTATCTGTGTGACATTACGATGACATATTTACTTGAACTTTAAAACATAACACAAAAAATGTATGTATTTAATTAACCTAGGAACATAATAAATCGAAAATTATCAAACAATTTTGTCTGAAAAAAACATGTCTATATGTATAACGTATGCATAAAATTATACACACTTTTACCTACCTACCTACCTACCCTTTCTATATAAAACAAGAAATTTAGGTTTTAGTATTTCTTAAAAACGAATAAATGGATGTTTTAAATTTCGTTTTAAAAATATAACGATATTAATTTCCTATTTATGGTTTGTTAAGCACTTTTTTATAAAAAATTTGTACAATAAACAATCAATAACTTTATTAAAAATTTATAAATACGAGAGCATATGCTTACTCCCATATTCATAAATACGCAATAAAGTTGTTGAAGGTTTATTATATGAATTTTGTATGGAAAATATTCATAGTAAAGTATTTATATGTATGTCATTATATGTATAATTAATTATTCTACTTGCATTTTCTGTTTGCATTAAATTTAGAAAAATCAAAAATGTTAGATATAACCAGAGATCGACCAGTCAAAGTTGCAGTAAAGGTAGCTGTACCCGTCCGAGACCATCCAAAGGTAATTAAATTTGTGTATAACTAATGATTGCAAATGAACAAAACAAAAATACTTTTAAAATTTAGTTCAATTTTGTGGGTAAATTATTGGGACCGAAAGGCAACTCCATGAAACGTTTACAAGAAGAAACAATGTGTAAAATGGCTGTTCTTGGACGAGGTTCCATGAGAGATCGAAAGAAGGAAGAAGAATTGCGAGCGAGTGGTGACAGTCGATATGCCCATCTATTTGATGATTTGCATGTAGAAATTTCCACATTTGCGGCTCCCGCAGAAGCCCATGCCCGCATTGCTTATGCTCTAGCAGAAGTGAGACGATTTCTAGTACCGGTAAGCTTGAAATAATTAAATTCTCAGTAACTGACACAGTGGACGAGTTATAACTATATGAAATGTATTTATTTTAAAACCACATTTATCATTGATATGTAAAACACATCAACCAAATATATGAAATTTTAATTTTTTAATTACTCCCTTTGACTAATGTTGCTTTTAATGGTAAATTCGTACATCCATATTTAAAAAGGAGATAAGAGGTTCCATATAAAAAGAATTTAATCCATTAATTGTAAATTAATTGTGGAGAGTTTTTAAAAACAACAAATTATTTCAAATGATTTGGTTGTCAGTTACAAAGTTTTCTAATGGATATTGTTATAAATATCTATGCATACATACATACATACATACATACATACATACATACATACATACATACATACATACATACATACATACATATGTTTATTAAATGTGTTGTTTTTATTTTCTCGGCCACAGGATTATCATGATGACATACGACACGAACAAATGTGGGAAATGCAGGCTTTAACTTCTTCAACTACTTTGCAAAATTCGGGTAGTGATCAGGCAAGTCCCACTCGCATTATTGAAGGTGGTATTACCGATATGGATACTTCAAACGATGAAAAATCTGACAACGAATTATCTGTCATGGACTGCATGACACCTGGAAAAATGGAAAAAACACACAACTCTTCTAATCCAAATGCAGTAACTCCGAATTCAACAGATCCTCTTAAGATACCACCAACAAGTGCAGCATCACGTAAGCACGAAGATCATTTGTGCGTTATGATTAATTATTATAATTTTTTTTGGAATTTTCTAGTGCATCCCTGTACAATGGCTGTCACATTACAGCATCAGTTTTCTGCGGCTGGTATTGGAGGCCTACTAAAACCAACGCCTACGGTAGCGGCTGTTACCGGTCTAACACCAGCTCAACCAACCACTACCTTGAGTTTGCCAAATGAAGCAGATGCTAGCGCTACTTCAGCTTTAACTCTTCTCGATTCTGCGGGTACATTACTCCATCCTGCTCTAAGAAACATTAAGACGATTAATATCGGTAATATATTTAATAGTAAACCTCCAGTAAAGTACTTCTGAATAAAATAATTGTCTCGTTTTAAGCTGGAAATTTGACACGTAAACGTCCCTTGTTGGGTGTGCCACGATCCAGTATGAATCCGACCAAGCGCACGGTAATGACACTATTAGCTAGAGCTAAAAACTCACAAGCATTGCACACGGTACGTAATCCAGTAGGAGCGGCACAACCAGCACCTTTCACCGAGTAAGTAAATAAATTTAAATATTTTTATTTTCAATATGTTTATCTTCCTTTACGTAATTAAAATGGAACATTAAGCCCACTCCAGATGTTGGCCTCGCCTTTTATAATACCCCACCACCATCATCATCAACCCATGGATCAGGCAATGTTGGCATTGTCGAAAGAGAGTTTAGCCCAGGGTGTCTAAGAGCAATATTATCCAAAAATATAATTTTTATTTTTTAGAACGACTAAATAAAAGTAGTATTTATGTATTGTATATGTGTAAGTGTTACGAATACATTTGCCCAAAAATACATACTTACTTGGACAAGTTTTCAATTAACATCACCAAATTATACTGCGATCCTTAAAAAAATACCCCCGCCTCCTTGAACTACTTAGTAGGTTTACCAAAATAATATTAATAATTACTGAGCAATGTTACGATCAACATTAATATTTGTTGATTTTTTTTATTAAAAAAGAACTTAATTATGATATAGGTACATACATAAATACATACATATATTTACAAAGATTAAAATGAAAATAACAACAACAAAAAAGAAAGTAATATTGATTAAATTAATTTACTTTATGATCGATCGATGACTTAAAAGGAATAAGTGAAATGAAAATACCAACATTTAGGGACTAAAATTAAAAATAAGCAAACACACATAACTACAAATATACTCACACATAAACATAAAAAAATAATAATTCACATTTACACAACACTCATTTACTCCAATTGTATCCTAACTCATTTTCGGCTTAGACCTGATTACTACAAAATATAGACTGAATTAAAGATACTTTTTACATATACATACATATCGCCCATTTACTACAGGACTGGTATAATCCAAAATTCGGGTTTTTTGAACTAAGGGTTACAAAGCTCTTACTAAAGTTTTTCATATAGTTTTATTAAATTTTAAATTTGTCTAATATTTTCGGTGTGATATTGATTTTTTGTTTTAAATGTAAAAACTAAAACTTTTATTTTCACGAATATTAGATAAATAAAAATTAAATATCAATTTAAAGTTCTTTTTCTCGAAACGGGGTTTTTTTTGGATTATGCCAGTCTTGTAGTAAATAAGCGATATGTATGTATATAATATTTTATTTCGGTGTGAGAATATTTTTTAATTAAACAACATTTAAAGACACCTTTCTCAAAAGTATGTGTCTGAATTAGGACATTTCTTAAGTAAATGAGTGTTAAGTATTTATTCATAAAGTCATACACATACACGCAGATAAATTCTATTTCTAATACAATTAGACACTAATTTACTCATAAAGCTTTTTATAACAAAAACAACCGAAATACATACACACATACATAAAGAAAAATAAAAAAATTATACAACAACCACAACAAAAGAACAAAATAATTACATATTACAGAAACATACCTACATACATACATATATTATTATGTATATTTTAATTTTAAACAAAAGCCATATAAAACATTACCATAAATCTTAAGAAAAAACGAATATAGTGAATTAATAGAAAATATTTAACAAATAAAAAAATTTATAAAAAAAATATTTATATATGCATACATACTTAACAACTAACCTGATAACGAAATTACTTTATAAAGATTACTTTAACAAAAACAAAAGAAAAACAAAATAAATATTTATAACCAAAAATTTTAAAAAAGAGGAAATACAAATTTTTAACGTGTTAATAGTTTTGACACACACTCAATGAATGTTGTACTTTAAATTCATCCATATTTACTTTTTAATATACATACATATGAATGTATATATATTTTTTTGTTTCTTTTTTCATAAAATTGAAAATTAAATTACAAAAAATGTAATATGTTAGGGTGTTTTTGAAGTTTTTGTTTTTTAATTGCAAGTTGTGCAGGTTGTTATTCTGTAAATAGAAGGAAGATATTTGCAAAAACAAAATAGTCATTTAAAATTTTAAAGTGGATGCTTCCAAAGGACTACAATTATTTGACCTGTGCTTTTATGAATTAAGAAAAGTAAAACTAAGAAAATGCGCTGACAAATGAGCTTTAACATTATATGGAGTCAAGAATTTAAAATTATTGTTATACATACCCCCTAAATAGGTTGTGTGATTATAGGATATCGTGAATCGAACATTTCCCCCATACAATATTTGAGCTCTATAAAGCATTTTTATATTGTTATTGGTCAAGCTGGTATGATAGAATCACCAATTACGACCATTTCGGAATTAATAACTCTTATTATTCATTATATACATACTTACATATGATTTATTTTATAAATTGTATTAAGAATCCCAAATGGCAAAAATTTAATAAACCCTGCATAGCTACAAATTCATACACATTTAGTAAGATTTCAACATAAATCGGTGGTTCTATTTATTATCCAGAACTAAACAAGAATTTAATTAATAATTTTATTTTTTATAATATAATATTGAATGAACACTTTCCTTGAGCGATGAAGCAAGTTCAATAACAAGAGGTTTCAAATTGATCAAAATAAACTAAAATTAAACATGGAAAATCAAAAGTTGGTTAACAAAAAGTAGATGTTTTTATTTCTTCTATACACCTGTCTTAAAATCTATTTAACTTTTTTCCAAGGAATGTATTAGATTCTGTTGGGAATATCCAATATGTATGTATATATGTATATGTACATAGATATTCGAATTAAATTTTCTTCTTAATGTGAACGCCAATCAGATACATACATATGTATGTCTCATTCATTCATTAAATTATACAAGAATCGTATCCAATCAAGCAGCCAACTAACCAGCCCTTCTTAAAAGGGTTTCTTTAAATTTCGCGTGAATCTATGGATCTATTTTTACTGTATTTCATAACTACTTATATATTTTTAGATTTTATATATTTTTTTTACATTTATATGTCTTTATATAATAAAAACACCAATAATATTTATTTATTCTCAAATATGAAATTGTTATTTACTAAACAGATTAAAACACCAAAAAAAAAAGATAAGAAATGCAAATTAACTACATATAATAAATTTAATAATCACCCAAATTAATTCAAAATTTAGCCATTGAACACAAAACATGCATGTTTATATGAATGTTGTTTCTAATGTTTTTGGCATTAAAATATTTAAAGAAAATAAATAATATATTTATACAAAATAAATATGTATTTAAAAATCAAATTAAAGTTAAATATTAACAAGTGAATAAACCACTAAAGTACATACAAAATTGAGCAATGCTGGACAAATGATTATTTTTGTCAATGTGCTTTGCTTTTTAAACAAACAAAAAGATATAAACAAATCTAAATAAAAAGCATCAATTAATTAATTAAATAATTACTAAAACAAAAATTTAAAAAAGAGTTAAATAAATGTCTTGAAACAAAATATTATTTATATAAATTGTTTTACTATAAAAGGGGGAAATATTTAAACTTTAATTGAACATTGTAATTGTATCCAAAGTCGTATATACCAAACCGGATGCCCACTTTTACGTAAAAGTATGTACTTCCGGCATTAGACAACTTTCATGATGATAAATATGTATATGTGTATGCATATTAAATTTCAAATTAAATGTATTCGACAGAATGCCGATATGTCAAATTAAAAAAAAATAAAAATCACTTTATTGAAATAATTTATTTGTAACATTTAAAAACTATGGATTTTTAACGTCGATTCACTCGTACTCCACTGCGTGGCAACGTGATTACTATTGAACGCAACGCCGGCATGTTGCCTACTTCGAGTTCTTTTTCGTAAATCAAGTCAGCTGTTGGTAGTTGTTGTTTGTTGTTTTCGTACAAGGTGGTATTTTAATTATTTGGCGTTCAACGATTTTAAATAAAATATTTTTATGTTACTTTTTCAAAAAGCTTGTATAAAATGTTTGGCTCAAAGACGTCTTTTATCCTATGCAAAAGGTAATAAAAATTCCAATGTATTCGATGTTGTTGTTATTGGCGGTGGTCATGCTGGGACTGAAGCATGTGCTGCAGCCGCTCGAATGGGTGCCAGGACATTGTTGGTAACACACAAAAAAGATACTATTGGAGAGATGTCGTGCAATCCATCTTTTGGAGGTATTGGCAAGGGACACTTGATGCGTGAGATAGATGCTTTAGGTGGTCTATGCGGTAGGATGTGTGACAAATCGGGGGTACAATACAAGGTGCTAAATAAACGCAGGGGCCCAGCTGTTTGGGGACCTAGAGCTCAAATTGACCGCAAATTATACAAGAAAGCTGTTCAAAATGAAATTTTTGGAATGAAAAATCTTGAAGTATTGTGTGCTTCAGTTGATGATTTATTCATAGAGGCTGATAGAGAGAATGAAAATAAGATAAAATGCAAAGGAATTGTTTTAGACAGTGGTCAGATAATACACAGTTCTACAGTCGTTTTAACTACGGGTACATTTTTAAGAGCAAACATAAATTTTGGTCTAGAAGTAAAGCCCGCAGGACGTATGGGTGATGCTCCTGCAATAGCATTGGGAAAAAGTTTAGAAAACTTGGGATTTCGTATGGGAAGGCTGAAAACGGGAACTCCGCCCAGAATATCCAAAGAGTCAATTAACTACAACAAACTTGAGGCTCATTATGGTGATAACCCACCGTTGCCATTTTCATTTATGAATGAGAAGGTTTGGATAAATGCTGACGAACAATTGCCCTGTCATCTAACTTACACCTCATTAAAAGTTAATAAGATTGTTAAAGAAAATATGCATTTAAATCGGCATGTTACTGAAGAAATTAATGGGCCTCGATACTGTCCGTCTATAGAATCAAAAGTTTTGCGTTTTGGAGAAAAACAACATCAGATATGGTTGGAACCAGAAGGCTTCGATAGTGACTTAATATATCCACAGGGTCTATCATGTACGCTTCCCTACGAGCAGCAAGTTGAACTTGTCAATTCCATATATGGACTGGAGGAGGCAAAGGTTGTACAACCAGGATACGGTGTCGAATATGACTACATAGATCCGAGAGAACTATATCCGAGCTTGGAAACAAAAAGAGTCAGTAATCTTTATTTTGCTGGACAATTAAATGGCACAACTGGGTATGAAGAGGCAGCGGCTCAAGGTATAATTGCCGGTGCTAATGCTGCAGCCAAATCGAAACAGTTTGATCAAAGGGAAATCTCTCGTCAACTAACTATAAGTCGAACTGAGGGTTATATAGGAGTTCTAATAGATGATTTAACTAGCCTTGGTACAAATGAGCCTTACCGCATGTTTACAAGCAGAGCAGAATTTCGACTTTCATTACGTCCGGATAATGCCGATCTACGTTTAACAGAAAAAGGTTATAATTTCGGTTTAGTGTCGGAAGACCAATATAAACATTTCATTAATGTCAAAAATTACTTAGACGAAACAAAAGCGTTACTTACAAGTCTAAAAAGACACTCTAATTATTGGCGTGAACACATAGGTCTTACTAAATCCAAATCATCTGTAGAGAAAACAGCATTTGAAATGCTAGGTATACCATCGGACAACATCACATTACAACATTTAATTAAAATCATGCCTGAGGAGTTGGGCAACATTCAACAAGTAGAATCTATAGCAGAAAGAATTAAAATAGAGGCATTGTATGCACATTTTGTTGAAGAGCAGTTAAAAGATGCCGAACAGGTAAGAAAGGAAGAGAGTCTCATAATACCAAAGGACATTGATTACTTTTCAAAATCACTAAGTTTATCAAATGAGGAGCGGCAGAAATTGACAATGATGCAGCCTCAAACAATAGCCGCAGCTAGTCGTATTCAAGGCGTGACGCCTGCGACAATTGTAAGGTTACTTAAACATGTCAAGCGCCTACAAGATATTGTTTCTCCGATTTAATTGGTGGGGACTATTACAAAAATTATTAAATTAATTGAAATAGTGAAATCATTTAAATCGTATAATTCTAGATAAATTCAAATACATCGACATAAGTATACATTGTAATTATATCAATTCTTTACAATAAAATAGTTTGTACATTTAATTTAAAATTGTCTATTTTTTTAATTAATTTTAATTACAGTAATAGCTGGTCCCTATTACTATTAAATATGGCGTATATCACTCTTAATGCAAGGAACTATATATTCCTCTCAAATTTTAACATAATCGGTCCTGAGTATAGTTTAATTATGTTAAATGGAATTTAAAAATACGACTGGAACACTCTCCATAACCCTAAGAACATATACATATTTCTTTTGAGTTTTTGTTCTTTTAGGCGCATCATGTGTAATATGTATTTATTTTATTAACATACATACAAACATACATATTATGTATGTCTTTTCTAGATTTATATTGAAAATAAAAAATGCGAAAAATTTTTGTTTTCAATACAAAATGAGAAACAAGGTTTATTAAATTTCGCTACTTCACAAAATTGGTTTACATACCTATATCGATTATGATTATTGCTATATTTTTTATTATTGTTCTATTTTTGGAGATATTTTTTTTCAACAATACGAACAATTTATATAGAATTTGGGATTTTTTTAATTAATAAAACCCCTTTTATAATTTTAAACAAATTAAAAAAAAATTATGAAATACATTTTTTATATACATATCCATATATTTTTTAAAAACTTTATAAAAAAGTATATAAAATTATGGTGAAGATTCGGAACAGTCGAAAAATCACCCCTGTTAAATTTAAATTCAATATTAAAAAAAAAATCAAAAATATTTTTTATTTTTTTAGTTAGGGTCGTTTGTATTTTAGATAACGATATGTTTATTTTTTGTATGTTCATCATAAATAAAGATCAGCTGTTTATGGTTTCTTATCATTGTTCCAATTGATTCAGCGATTGCTCTGTATGTACATAAGCAGTTTATCTTAAGCTGTTCGTCAATTAAAACAATCTATTTTTCGTAAAATTTCCACACCGTCGATCATTTTTACGTTTAGTTCTAAACTTCTCGTGCAACAGTTAACACCAAAAATACAGTAGTAAAATGAGTGGAACGGGAGGAAAATATTGCTTCGCTATAGATCGTGGTGGCACTTTTACCGATGTCATGTGTATGTGTCCCGATGGAAGGGTGCGTACTTTAAAGCTTTTATCAGAGGATCCTGCCCGTTACGGTGATGCTCCTCGAGAGGGTATACGCAGAATTCTGAAAGAGGTAAGTTCAATTCGTTCGTTTCCTTGTTGAATGAATAATTACAAAATGATGCAATTCTATGTAGGAAACTGGAAGAGATGTCAATTCTTCTGGGTTGGTTGATACTTCGCAAATTGGATGGATTCGCATGGGCACTACTGTGGCAACCAACGCTTTATTAGAGCGCAAAGGTGATCCCGTTGCATTGGTTGTCAATAGAGGTTTTCGTGATTTATTGTACATTGGAAATCAAGCCAGACCAAAAATTTTTGATTTGAATATTCAAAAGCCTTCTAACTTGTATAAAACAGTGGTGGAAGTCGACTGCCGCATAATACCGGAACAGCCAAAGGAAAGATGTCATTTGAAAGAGAGTAAGTTAAATACAAAATTAGCACAAGAAAAGATCTCCTCCAAAATTGTAAATCCCCAAAATAGTTGTTACTACCACTTTTCCAAATTTAATGAAATTATATTTGTGTGTAAGATGAATGTAGTATGTAGTTGAGTAACTAATTTGTTAGAAAAGCAAGAATGATATGAAGACTTGCATAATTTGTAGTTATAGTTTAACCTTGGTCTGAATTTGGAGGGGATTTTATTTACATATATGTATATGTATATGTATGTATGCATTTAGGTTTTCTGGTATTCGTTTTTTATCTCCATCAATATCTTATGGAATTTAGCCCAGTAAATTATATGAAAAAACATTTTAGATCTGGGAAATTTTATCATCATTAATATCATGTGCCGTTAGCCATATTTTAGATATCAAAGGTCAGAAAAATTTACATACATACATGGCGTATTTTTTTTTGCGCTTTCGATACTAAGTTTGAATTGAAAAATTGTAAAAAACTTATGTTAATTGTTATGATTTTTTAGAAAATCAATGGAAAATTTTAGAGGGTGCTGGAGGATCGCGATATTTAGAAATGACACCAGTGGATGAGGTTGCTGTTCGCAGTTCATTAGTGAAAGTAAAAGAACAAGGAATTTCATCTGTGGCCGTTGTTTTGGCTCATAACTATTCGTGTCCCGAACATGAATTGAAAGTTGGACAAATTGCTAAGGATTTAGGCTTTGAGTACATAACGTTGTCTCACCAGGCTATGCCCATGTATAGACTAGTTCCAAGGGGTTATACTGCATGTGCTGAGGCATATCTAACACCACATGTAGATCGTTATTTAAATAGGTAAATAATAATGCGCGTATAAAATCAAATTGGTTTAAATTGTTTATTTGATCGTTCAGTTTCAAGTCTGGATTCGATAAGGAGTTATCTGGAGTTGAGGTGCTTTTTATGCAATCAGACGGTGGTTTGACTCAAATAAATAAATTCCGAGCATCAAGAGCTATACTCTCAGGACCGGCAGGTGGCGTTGTTGGTTACGCTATGACTGGATCTAGGGAAACGGATATGCCTTTGATTGGTTTCGATATGGGTGGCACATCTACTGATGTTTCTCGATTTGCCGGCACTTATGAACATGTTGTGGAAAGTACTACCGCAGGAATTACAATACAAGCTCCCCAATTAGACATAAATACTGTTGCTGCTGGAGGTGGTTCTAGATTGTTTTTCAGATCTGGTTTATTTGTAGTAGGGCCTGAAAGTGCTGGTGCCCATCCCGGACCTGCGTGTTACAAAAAGGGTGGACCTTTGACAGTTACCGATGCTAATTTAATTCTGGGTCGTTTGCTGCCGCAATATTTCCCGAAAATCTTTGGTCCTAATGAAAATGAGCCCCTCGATTATGATGCAACCAGAAGTAAATTCGATGAACTATTGAAGGAAATCAACAATAGTTTAAAGGAGCAAGGAAGTAATAAGCAAATGTCGTTGGAAGAAGTCGCTTTAGGTTTTATACGAGTAGCAAATGAGGCAATGTGTCGACCAATACGCGCTCTAACCCAAGCCCGTGGTCTAGACACTTCCAAACATGTGTTAGCATGCTTTGGTGGCGCTGGTGGCCAACATGCTTGCGCCATTGCTAGAGAATTAGGCATTACAAAGGTTCTAGTGCACAAATATGCAGGCATTTTATCGGCTTATGGAATGGCGTTGGCTGATGTTGTACAGGAAATTCAAGAGCCTTGTGGATTAGAATTTTCGTTAACAAACGAGATGACTCTAAAAGAAAGTGTTTCTAAGTTGGCTAAGAGATGCAATGAAATTTTGGAAAATCAAGGTTTTAAGGATATTAGTTTGGAGCATTTCTTACATCTTCGCTATGAAGGTACTGATTGTGCTCTTATGTGTTCAGCTTCAAAAGAACACACTTCCAACTGGTTGGACGCATTTAAGAAATCGTTCTTAAGTCGTTATCAAACCGAATTTGGATTTGTGCTGCAAAATCGTCGTATCATTGTTGATGATATTCGTGTAAGAGGATTAGGAAAAAATTCAACTCCACCAGAGTTGGAAGCTGATGTAGCTACAAATGAAAAGCCAACAGATGTTGGTACTACGCTGGTATGTTTTGAACAAGGATTGCTTAATGCTCCCATCTATATGACGAAAGATCTTCGATATAAACATAAAGTACAAGGACCAGCAGTGATAATTGACCAACTGTCAACCATTTTAGTAGAACCCAATTGTGAAGCTGAAGTTACGAAATATGGTGATTTAGTAATTAATGTCCAGTCCATTCATAACACCAAAGTAGATGAAACGCTCGATGCTATTCAATTGAGTATCTTCAGTCATCGTTTCATGAGCATTGCGGAGCAGATGGGAAGGTAGGCAAATATATATTTTGAGCATAAAATTCCTAATTAAACTTTTACCATATACGATGTTATCTTCTTAAAGGGTTTTACAACGAACATCGATATCAACCAACATAAAGGAAAGATTGGATTTCTCTTGTGCTCTATTTGGACCTGATGGTGGACTAGTTAGTAATGCTCCGCATATACCAGTACATTTGGGTGCAATGCAGGAAACAGTTCAATACCAATTGAAAGTGCGAGGTAAAACTTTGAAAAACGGAGATGTTATTTTGTCCAATCATCCTCAGGCCGGTGGTTCACATTTGCCTGATTTAACAGTTATTACTCCTGTATTTTATAAGTACGTTTTAATTACATTTTTATAAATTGACATTTTTAATTTTATAACAAAAATGTAGGGATCACGAAGGTCCTGTATTCTTTGTAGCCTCTAGAGGACATCATGCTGACATTGGTGGTATTACGCCTGGATCAATGCCACCCCATTCCACATCTTTAGCACAAGAAGGCGCAGCCTTTAAATCATTCCTTATTGTTGAAAACGGCACATTTCAAGAAGAAGATGTGGTAAAGAGATTTACTACTCCAACAACGGCTAAAGGAGCAACGGGTACTCGAAACTTATCGGATAATATTTCCGATTTAAAAGCTCAGATTGCCGCAAACCAAAAAGGCATTCAACTTGTGTCCGAATTAATTGATTCTTATGGCCTAAATGTGGTGCAAGCATACATGAGTTACATTCAAGAAAATGCTGAAATTGCTGTCCGCGATATGCTAAGGCAAATAGCTAAAGACACTTTGTCCCGAACTGGATCATCAATTTTAGAAGCTGAAGAGTTCATGGACAATGGATCACCAATTAGGTTGAGGGTAAATATCGACGCTGATAAGGGTTCTGCAATTTGTGACTTTACCGGATCCGGTACCGAAGTTTGGGGAAATTGCAATGCTCCGCGGGCTATAACCCTGTCGGCTCTTATTTATTGCTTGCGTTGTATGGTTGGGCATGATGTGCCTTTGAATCAGGGGTGTTTGGCCCCTATTAAAGTCATCATACCAAAAAATTCAATATTAGATCCATCTGAAGGTGCAGCTGTCGTGGGAGGAAATGTCTTGACTTCCCAGCGTATAGTAGACACTGTTCTAAAGGCATTCCGTGTATGCGCTGCTTCTCAAGGCTGCATGAACAACGTAACCATTGGCGACGAAGAATGGGGTTATTACGAAACTGTAGCAGGCGGAGCCGGAGCTGGTCCGTCTTGGAAAGGAGCTGGAGGAGTTCACACTCATATGACCAATACACGCATAACAGATCCCGAGATAATGGAGTTACGTTATCCAATGATTTTAAAAAGATTTTGTCTTCGTTCCGACCAATCCGGAGGCTTGGGAAAATATGAAGGTGGAGAAGGTGTGGAAAGGCATATATTGTTCCGGAAACCCGTCACCCTATCTGTCCTAACTGAGCGTCGAACCTTACAACCGTACGGTATGAATGGTGGCGAACCTGGAAAAAGAGGACTTAATTTATTACACAAAAACGATGGACGTATTATATCCTTGGGGGCCAAAACATGTATCGATGTCGAAGCTGGGGTACGTAATTTCCTCTATATATGCCACATTAAGCATTTATTATTTTAATTTAAATTTTTTTCTCAAGGACTTGTTTGCAATGAAAACACCCGGTGGAGGTGGATATGGGAAATTCGATGATACTGTCGAACCTAGCGAAAAGCCAATTGCTGCAGCTTCCAAATTTTTAGAACGTGGTTCTGTCTTTGATTATCGACAATCAAAGGAGTCCGTATAAATTATAGTTACTAATATGTGCAAAAAGAACGCCAAAACTCAAAATATATGCTTTTATTTTTCACTGAAAATAATAATAAAGCGCAAAGTGTTTTAAATTATATTCTAATCCTAAAAATGCATTAAATTATTTCTCTCTATACTGAAATTATTGAATTCTTACGTTTTTGCATCAATATTTGAATAAGTTTAAGTATCTGGTGTTAGGATTTGCACTTTATTGGGGATACTAATCAAAATGTTAAATAAAATACACTTCTTTTGTGAAATATTTATTTGAATTTTAAAAGACGTATTTTATTTAATGTGTCGTTATTTTCAATACTTGTACACAAAAGAGAATTTATTTAAAAGTTATTGTTAAAATCATTATTTATTAATTTTTCTTTTTAAATTTTTAAATTAAAAAAGATACACATTTACAGAAATAGTTGAGACAAATGAAAAGTTGACAACATAGAAATATAACTACAAATACAAATGATTAGGATCTGAAGTCTATAGATATATGTACATATACATATATATGTATGTACAATATTTATACGAACATACAGAGAAAATGAAAGCAATGCCTAATTTTATATTAAATAATCATGATACGTTTACCAATATCATTTTATCTTGGAGTTTTACATTCATTTCATTTCTGTTTTACTTTACACATTTTTTTTGTTTTAAGATTATCACAGATGGCTCAAGATTTTCAAAATAGTGTAAAATATGCAAACAAAATTTTTGATATCATTTTTATTTTTTAAGATTACGACTCAAATTGTTCAGATTTCGAAATTTAGTTTTTTTAATACTTATCAATATTATATTAAATTTATAATTTTGTTTCAATCTTTAAATCACATTTAATTTATTTAACCTAAAATATTTGTTATTATACTTCTTATTAATACCATATAATATATGTAGTTATGTATGTAAGTATGTATGTTGAAGACCGACTTACACATGGATCTTAAAAATATTACCATTTTTTTCTTGCTTGTGACAGATGATAAAATCTGTAAATAGATTTAAATTATTTGGACCGAAGAATATTGTTCCTATATATTGATTGCATATAAGGATTCTTGAAAAATTGGTTAAAGCGCTTTATGACAATCTAGTTCGAATTAAATAGAGCATGGAAGACGTTGTTGGACGTCTTGGATTTATGCGTAACATAGTGAACACAATGTACTCTTATCAGCAAATTATTTGCGATAAATTCACTGAAATATTATTAAAAATATCACATTAGTGAGAAGTGCATGAATTCCATTCCGAATGTGGATTTATCAACATAATTATTCAAAAAAAGAAAATTTTTAAAGTGGAATTGAAATGTGTTTGTAATTATTAATATTTCCGAACAATTTTATAAAAACTGTTTATGCAAAACGAGTTAATTTTTTAATAAAATGATTTTTTTATAAATTAACAAACGTGTTACAGTCCTGTAATACACAATTAAAATCCGTTAATAGTTTTTTCTCCATGCTAATGTAATTCTAAACTTTAGTTCCAAAAATAATTTGTCGAAAAAAGGCCAAGTGAATGATTTACATATATTTTATTAGTTATTTAGGATGCACATACATACATCTATGTATGTGTATATAATTTTTTTAATTATTAAAATTTTAAGCAAAAATTCTTAACTGTTTTTTTACTATTGATTTAAAATTATTTTTAAATAAATTGTAGGTTACGAGTAAAACATTCATATATTATATGTATGCATGTATGTGATTATCTGGTAAGAATTAAAATATATGTACATATGTAATGTCATCATAAACTGAAATGAATAACCAATTATTTATGTACATAGCAAAGTCCTGGAACTACTTTAATTTCGAACTCGGTCATGTTCTGTAAAAATGAAAATATCATAATTTCTCGAAATCTATTCAAACCAACTAAGTCAATATGAGCTCCTTAAAGTTTGTTGTGTCTGTGATATTCAACCATTCAATACAATATTCCAAAAATACATATATTTTTGTTAAAATATTCAAATAGTAGAAATTAAAATAAAATATAATATTTAAAACCAAATTTCAGTTTACAGAACCGTACCGAAGGTCTAACTAAACAATAAATCATGATGTTATTTGCTATTTTCTTTTAAATGTATTTAGTGAAAATATGTATATGTATGTACGTGTGCAATTCTTAATATCTGTACAATTTATTTCTTTATTGTAATTTTTATTTTGACTAATTATTTATATTTTTGAATAGATGATGTCATAAGGTGGATGTATCTTCTGTAGTGACGATGTTATTAACATTACTGCTGGAGAAATTGTTCACCGTAATCATCGCATGTTTAGGTTCAGTATCTGTAAGAGAAAATTAAGCAAATACATAAATCAGTCGTGGGTAGTAGGTTGATACATATCGAAATTTATTGTATACTTTAAATATGAAACAAGAGAACTAAAATCAAAATACAAAACAATAGTACAAAGTTGAAATTATAATAATTCAAAACATTTATTCACGATTAAATTTGCAATTGGATATTTTTCTTTACATACTCCATTCGATATATACGTATATCTATGTGTGTTTGTTTATATTTATATGTTTATAATCATTTTATTGTGTTAACATAATGCACTATGAATACAACTCGTTTAAAGCAAAAAAAAAAAACTTAACAAATAATAAAAATAAAATACATTTTGATTTTTCTTAATTTAGATGAAAATCGATGCAATCGATAAAAAGAAAAGTTTATCATCTTCGTCTTCTTTTAGAACCACATGAATAAAATAAAGTAATAGTAGCTACAACTTCTTTATTGTTAGGATAAGTTTTGTGTTTTCATGGAAACTTAATCGTATGTATGTAAATTAATTGTTCTCCAAATATATATATATTTTTTTCATTAAACTATTACAAATGAAGTAAGCAGTTGTTGAATTAGGTGAGAAAATGTAAAAATTATAACAAACTAAAAATTAATATATTTGTATGTATTAAGAAAATTATATTAAAATTGTACATCAGTGTTTATAATTTTGTTAAGCAAAATAATAATAATAATATTGTAATAATAACAGAAAAATAATAAAATAAAAACACTAAATCTTTTAAACAGTTTTAAGGACACAATAAGTTGTTCTCCATTTTCATTGAATGTTCAAATGTCTCGTCTGAAACCCCGTAGTAATTCATATTAATTTTAATTTGATGTGAAAAAATCTATTCAAATCAATATAATATCCACCATTTGTAATCATATTATCGTTTTAATGAATTTAATATTAATTGTATCACGATTAACAACAATTACGACGGAATAAAGGCAAGAGAAACCTTATAATTGCTTTTAAAGTGATGTAACGCGAGTATGAATAACATTTTCATAAATAATAGGCAACGATGTTTGGGCTTCTTTTCTTTATATTGTGTGCAAATGTTGGTGGTCGGGTTAATAAGTGATAAAATGTATGTAATAGAAAGAATATAAATCTCGTTTGATTTACATACAATCACCTACTACTCACCTCAGCCTGAACTGAGGTGGTGGGTGTAGCACTGGAGACAGCAGCCTCATCGATACAATTCGTTTGTGGCGAAGAGCCGGCAATATTGGTGCTGCTACTCACCACGGGTGGTGAGGTTGTACCACTTGTGGTTGAAGTGACACCAGATGTGGATACAACTTCCGGTGATTGATTGGCTGCACCAGACTGTGAGGATCGAGGGTTTGCCGATGTGCTAATTGCCCCAGTCGGTGGTGGGGGCTGTGGGTGTAGTGTTGGTTGTGGTGGTGGTTGTTCGGTTGTAGACTGTAGCTGTTGGAAGTCCGTTTGGGTCTTGAACGTTTTGTTAGAGGTAGAAGTAGAATTAGAAGTTGTTGTAGCAGAACTGGGAGGTGCAGTTGCTAGAGGTATTGGTGGTAGTTTGGAATTCTTGCCGCTATCCACAATAATAGGAGAAGTAGGTTGAGGCGATGGGTGACTTTGGGAGATTTCAGAATTTTTAGTGTGTGTTGCTTTAATACCGTGATTCGACACTGATACCTTTGGAAAGTCTTTACCACATGTTAGATTCACTTCTTTAACCAGCTGCTGGTGTTGTTCAGTGTTAATAGAAGTATTGGAGGAGGTGTAAGAACCTGAAATTTTACCTTGGCCGGGACTGCTGTGCCGGCGATTTTGTACATCAGTTGTACTAGGACTAGGTTGCTGATCAGCCTCTGACAGCTCTTTGTTGCCACTGCATGGTGTGTTGGCTATGGTCGTTGTCGTTGTTGGTGAAGACGGTGGTTTCTTTTCATTTAAATGCATCTCTGCCTTTGAAGAATCCTCCTGATCTTTTGCGGCATCGTTGCTGTTATCTACTCCATTTATTTCGTTTGAAGGTATTTGAAGATTTGTAGCTCGCACCGATTCCGTATTACTGACAGTTGAAGGGGCATGATTGCTTGAATTTGAATTAGATCCGGTTAAGTCCAATGTTGTTGGTTCATGTATAGAGTTTGAGATGCTTGTTGTATTCGGCTTATCCATTGCTGTTGCCTGTGGTACGACATTTGCTATGTGATGCCGCATAGCGTGTGGACTATGTGAAGTTCTACTGTTAAGGCTTCCGTTTTGGGCACCGCCGGATGACACTGCAGTAGATGTTGTTATTTTTCCCGGCATAACGGCAGTGGAAAATGACAATGGGTTTACGGATCCTGGCATTGGAATCTGCAATGAAGTGCTATTTTGATTTGAAGCTGCTGACAAAGAACCTGTGGCTGCTGCATGCATGGCTGCTAAATGACTGGGGTGATGACTGTAGTATAATGAACTGCTCATTGGAGACATATGAGTGGACAACGAAGTCGTTGGTTGGACTATACTGCCGCTAGCCTGAACGGTAGGTGCTGAAGAAGTTATCATATTTGACTCCGACTGTCTGGCTGATATTGAAGTGCTCGAACTAACTACGTTTAGGTTCCCATGTGGAGAAGATCCTGCGGAAGTTGTGAGCATTGCAGTAGAGTGAGGTGCCAATTGATGGGTGGACGTTATTGTAGGATGATGCGGAGACATGTGTGGATGGGTCAAGTTCATACTGTGGTGGGCTAAACCTAAAGCTGCAGCTGAGAATCCGGGATGAGTTAGACCGAGTGCAGCTTGTTGCAGATGATGCGGCATATTAGAGGGCACGTGGGATAGTGGTGAGACTCCGGGTAACCCCGGCAACCCTAGGTTCAAACCCATTGCCCCATGAGGACTTTGTCTTTGGTTAGTTACATGATAGGGAGACATGTTTGAGATGCAGGCCTGAAGTCCTGCAGGGGGTGCTCGCAGTCCTAAATTTAAATGTGGTATCATAGATCCAAGAATATTTCTGCCTAATGGATACAAAGGATTCGAATAGTGATGGGAAGCAGAAATTAATTGTTGGCGTTCTCTTTCTCTAGCTTCCCTCTCTTTTTCGCGCATTTCTCTTTCTCTTGCCTCTTTTTCCTTCAGCTCCTTTTCTCTTTGTTCTTTTTCCCGCTGCTCACGTTCCCTTTGCTCCTTTTCGCGCTGTTCTCTTTCTCTCTGCTCTCGCAATTCTCGAATTTCTCTTTCTTTTTCTCGTTGGATTTCTCGTTCGCGTTCCTCTTCTCGAGCTATCCGAGCTCTATGCTCTTCCTCCAGTTTTATACGGTCATGTAAACTAGGGCCAAGTCCCAAAGCAGCACTAGGAATCATAGAATACAAATGAGAAGCGTACGGCGATGCCATTGGAGGATATAGAGCAGCATGAGGATGGGAAGGATGTGCTCCTGCTGCTCTTAGTAACTGAAAGCGCTGGTCCAAATACATTTGATCTGTGTAAGGTAGACCAGCTGGATTTAAGAAGGCTCCTAAAACAAAAACAGTTAAAGTACCACACATATGTTGATAATAAAAATATAAATTTACCTGGTGGCATGCCTGTTATTCCTGCAAATGGGGAATAAGCGTCCAAAGGAAAAGCACCCGCGGGATGTATAAGTCTTTCATCTGATCGGTATGGTTGGAAGCCGCTTCTAGCCAATAACTCTGGCTGTATACCAGAACTGGTTTGGGAATTAAGACGAGCTATCTTCTCTGCTGGCTGCGGTGAGGGTGCTGAACGCTTCTTAGCTACTGACGAACGATCTTCATTAGTTACAGTCTGCGGCAACGATGAGCTCCCAATTCGTTCATTTGAAATTGAAGTTCTACTATTAACATTTGGATTCGAAGAAATCGAAACACTCGTACTAGTTCCACCTAGACTGGGGGCTGCTACAGCTGGTGCTGCGTTACGTTCGTTTCTCTCTCGTGAAGAAACCTCCTCTTCCTCCTTAATGTCTGCTTGCTTCGCAAGATTCCGTAAAGCTGATGCAAATGGTCCACGAGCTTGCGCTGCAGCGCTATTTAAAGCTCCTGGCACATTTGCCAATTGCTGCTGAACTTGTACAGCAGCTGCTGCCGCAGCAACAGCATGTTGATGTGCCTGGTGTTGTTGTTGGGTCAAAGAAGGTGAATGAGCGCTAAGGTGATTGCTAGCTAAATTATGATTTATATTTGCTGCGGATGACTGTGATTGTGCAACATTTGTCGCATTGCCAGCTGAGGCAGATGGCGTTGACGGAGATTGTAAGTGGTGCGGTGTAGGCACTACAGGAGCTGGACTAGTAGCTGGTCGTTTCTGGGTAGTTTTAGGTGGCACTGCAATTATAACAAAACAAATAAATATAAAAATTTAATACTTTTAATTTTTTTTAATTCAAATTAATCTTCCTGTAAGCCTAAAAATATAAAAAGGCTGTTTGTGCCTATGTCTATCGATCTGGATTTGCACCAAGGTTAGTACTACTATTGAATAGTAGTATTATAGACCCCATTTTTTTAAAAAGATCGGTCAAGAACACTCTGAGTCACTGTAGGTCAAAGTTTGAAATTTTTATCATATCTTTATCTTTTTTGGTATTTGCATATGCTTAAACTATAAGAGATAAATAATGCAATAGAAAATATAAAAACCTTTGAAATCGGATAGGAAAAAAGCCTCATAGCCTCGTCCCTGGATCAGTTGTTATCAAAACTTAATCACGTGTACTCCTTATCTACTCCTATGCCAAATTTTCGGACCAGCCGTTTTGAAATAACAGATTTATTTTCAAAAATGTTGATTATGCCCCACTGTGCATCCTGAACAACATTTTATAGTTCTCTGCGAAGTCACATGAAAAAAGTGATTTTAATCCTGAGGTTAACATTCTGTGGCTATTACAATATCGACGATATGAGATTTTAGTTTTGTGTGTTACATACCGTTAGTAAGGTACATATAAAATTTGTCTAGTTTTGCCTTAGTTTTTAGGTTTATTAATGACTTGCACACAAATAGGAAAACAAATTCAAAATAGTGCAAATTGGAAAACCTTGGTCACCTAATACGAAATCTCCCATATGTAAATAAACTTTTTTGATTCGCTTCTCATCAACAGCATGATTCCACTGATGGTTTCACTAACTTAAAAAACGATATACTTCGAGAAGTTTTTTATCTAAAACAACTAAACGAAAGTACATACATACAAATTTTGATTATACACATTCCCAAAATCTATTATTTGAATTCCAGCAACTAATGAATAAATATGTGTTAAATGTTGTAGTATGCGTTTTTGTTACCACCAATTTATTTAGTGTCTATGAACACTCAAAGTACGTACAGTGGCAACAAAAATGATAGAAACAAGGGAATATTTTAGAGGAAAATAAATATTCTCCAAAACTTTGTTTAACAATACAATGATCTTAAATTAAAAGTTATTTAAAGTCTTCTTTCATTTAAATTTTAGGCATTACACAGAGCTGTTAGAAAAAATATATCAAGGACATAAGAGTTATAAGTTTTATGATATATTTCTTAAATAGTAACTTTATTTTTTTTTTTTTTTTTATCCATAACTATTTGATTTCAATTTGTATTTTTTTCATTGTTTGATAACAGTTATACACAACGAAAAAAAATATTTCTTATACATAACTATTATATTTCAATAAATTTTTTATTCGTCTTTTTGTATTACTTAATGATATGAAATAAGTAAATCAGGTCATAACAATACTTGTATATTTTACTTTACATTCTAACAAACTTTTTTATTGTACATCGCTTAAAAATACCATATACAATACATAATGAAGTTTTATAAGTTGGAACCAAAATCTATTTACTAAATTTGGCACTAGGTTCATTATTTGATCCTAGCCCCAATGCTTTAAAGGAACCAACTACTCATTCCTATGTGATTAAATTCATTATTGACCATTCTTTCTATATCAATAACAATAGTTTTAAATAATATTTTAGAGGAAAATAAATATTCTCCAAACTTTCTTTAAGAATACAATGATCTCAAATGAAAGTTATTTAAAGTCTTCTCTCATTTAAAATTTAGAGGTGTTAGAGAAAATAATTAATATATAAATGTATTTCTAAAGTCGGTTTAAAATAATTTTAAAAACTTCTTTTAAAAATAATTTTCTTTGTTATTGTTGATACTATTTTTCCATCTTGGAAAAACTCAAATATAAACATTTTGAAATATTCGTGTTTTTATTATTTTTGCTGCCACTGTATGAGTGATGTTACGAGTGCGTGTCATTATTGCGTGCTGTCAAAACAACACTTTCTTAAAGAACCAATATCAAAAAAATAACTACATGTATTTATAAATGTTTAAAGAATTATTGTCGAAATGTTTGGATGTCACTAATTTATTTTAATTGATTTATTAACAAACATACTGGTGTTTCAACTACGTGACCCTTTATAAAGAAATTATTGAATAATTAGACAGTATTTGGGGTATTACAACATAATAGCTACAATTAGGGGAATATAAAAAATGTAGACATATTGATATGTGAAATATATTCTCATTTTGAAACAAAAATTCTTTGCTATATTATTAGCTCCTGTACTTGTCATATTTGTTAAGTTTAATAGTAAATCGTTTCTGTACTCGGTCTTACAAGTACAAACTCATATATTGCCCTCATATCGAATATATCATATGTTACTTCAGATTCATAATTGTATAATTTTAGAACATTAAATTAAAATCAGCCGGTGTTACTTCTAACAAACAAAGTTATGAATGTAATTATGAAAATAAATCAGAAACATTGTGGAATTTTCTTCATATGCATTTTAATAACAAACGTTCGTTGGTTGCTCTGGAGTAACTCGATTCTCTCGAATTTGTTAGAATTCTGAAATGTAATTGCAAAATGTTATTTTATAAAAAATTCACTATAACTCTCAAAAACAGATTTAGCCGAATATTAAGATGTATTATAATTTAATTTCTTTTAAATCCCCAATTTATATTTAACTATTTTTACAAAATTATTGGATTACATGAACTCCTTGTAAGCATTATTAGAGTACTGAATCCTTTTAGTAGTCCTATGTAATGCAGGCATCGATCATGTTTATTTTTGTTGAAAACAACATGGTCCATAGCCTGCATTACATAGGACCATATATTCCCATAATTTTTGTATGTACATACATATGTATTTGTAAAATTTTATAAATTTAAAGGTATGTATTTTTTTTAAATTTGATTTTACATAGGTCGACTAGAGCACTTAAACTTTTTAGTTGGTGTGTACATACGATAACGTTACCAACGACTCACCGCAAATTGGTATTGGCGCATGTATGCTGGGTAATCCTCTTGGTAGCCATTCCATCATATATTTCAGATTTAATCCAAGAAAAATTTTTGAGTATTGCACCAGAGGCAGTAATTTAGCAAAAGTAAATTTTAGTTTCTTATTTCTTACACCGTTGATATTGTGGAGAATCAGTGTATATTTTAAAGCTCCAAGTGTACTGCATATAAATACATATCATATACATATTTATGTACGTACATATATGTATGTAATTATATGAATGTACATATAGAGCAACAAACAGTTTGGTAGATGTATTTCGGATTGGTTCGGTTACAATCGGATTGATGTTGGTTAAATTGGTGTTGATTTCAAATTTGCAATAAGAGGTACATTCCAAAGGTGTTAATCTTCCTATATACATACAATATAGACCAGAAAACAGTCGGTACACCAAAGAAGAGACAGCACAGACGTCAACATCAGTGATTATAATTTCAAAGGACTTCAGCACCACATATACGCATCACTTTTACAATGAATGCATTATATCTATGTGTGTTACGAGATTTGATTTTATGTGTTTTTAGCGACAACTATACACTACGATGTATCCACGATATTATCTATTGCAAAAAATTAAATTATTTACGAAAGACAAGCTCACAGAATTAACAAATTATCTAAAACATTATATTCAGATATTAAGTATGTATATTGCGTGTGTTTCTATATCAACTTAGGGAGTTTTTAACATTTCAGTAGATATAATCTTTATACATATTTGTATTTGGCACAATTTGGCACAACAAATAGTTTTTTTAATTTAGTTTTTTTTTTTAATGATGCAATAAAACTAAGCGAACGTTTAGTCTCTTTTTCATCCCTTCTTTAAGGATGCAGATACAATTACATACAGAGTGTGTATAAATGCAATTCCTTTACAGATAACAAACACACGAGCACATGTTTTTATAATAAATACGTAGGTATGCGTATATGGATGTATTAACAAATTTGTATGTATTGTATGAATTAATTATTTATTTTTTGGTTGAACAACTTCCGCGCACATTACCGTTAAGTATTTTCACAAAGACTAACGGATAAAAACAACAAATAAACTAAACTATTGTGGTGTTATTGTGTTTCATGATGTCTTCTTCTCTTCTTTAGTTATTGTTATTTATTTATGTATTTATTTATTTTTTCTATATTATTATATACACTTCTCTCTTTAAGTGGTATAAAAACACCATAATTTCGTTTTTTATTTTCTTTATTTATTTTTTGTTGTTCTTGTTGTACATTTTACATTTACACTTCAGATATGTATGCGGGTGTTGTATGTATGTTTGTTTATTTCATAAATGGAGGGGGATGGGCGACATAAAAAGAAATTTTGCCCCCTCAATGCACACAATATTTACGTATTTCTTTATTTCTCACATTAAAATGAAAATTTTAATTTTATACACTTTTTAATTTAGCATTCTGCCGCAATATGAGTATTAAATTGTAAACTCTTAAAGGATTAGGAAATAGTTACGACATTTTTTTACTCAAAAAAATGCGAGTGACTAAGAGATTAAACACGATTCATAAAGGTTTTTCATCACATCACAAGCTTAAATTCTTGAATATGGATGTCAATAATTATGGTGCTATAAACAATACATACATATGTATGTATGTATGCATGTATGTATGTATTTATGTGGTTGGTTGGTGGGTTTTTCTCTGCCACTGCAGCTGCAAAAATATTTTGTGGATAAATTTAACGGTAGAGCGGTAGAGTATTAGTAGGCGTTTATAAGTAAAATGCGTGCACACGTTGTTCATCCGTTGAACATTTGACAAGAACACGACGACGTTTGCAAAAGGACTAAATTTGAAAACTCTGAACTTATTTGCTCCCACTTTGTATGTATTGCTGCTGGTGTCTCTTATACGTAAGGACTTTTAGCATGCCGTACACAGCATAAACAGGAGCAACTGAGTAGAGGTAAGTAAACATTTTAAATAGAGTG